ATTGAGAAGTGTACTCATCATCTACCTAAGCTGAAGACGTTGCCGGTACGACAGTTCCTGCTTCAAAACCTACATCCTTATTTGAATTACATCAATATTGAATATTTGAAGTCCCATTTTAAACCAATTATGTTCTAAATAAAAAATGAAGCGAATGAGAACATTTGAACTCTATAAACTACTACAAACAAACCTTCGGCATCCTTGGCACGCTCTCGTTTGAAAAGATATCGCCTCACTAGTCGTTGCATAATGTCAGCGTAGGAGGTTTCAAGCACATCCAGATCACGGTTTTTGCAGACTTTCTCCCGCTTGGTCTGAAAAATATCAACAAAGTAAGAAGAAATAAATACTAAAGGGATTTCAGAAGAAATCGGTTGTGGCATTAATACAAACTCAAATACCACCGATTATATTCACACACAGGGGGTGTGCGATAGATTTACCTCCACGTGGTGCACCCTGGGTAACGTATACTCATACGACAAAAAAGTCTATTAACCGGCAGTTAACTTCGCACTTCAAACTACCCCCCACTGTATGACATATTCGACCCCTACCACAGTAATAATCTTACCTTTTCTCTGCTCTATTGTCTGTCTCTGTCACATCTGTGAATCATTATTCTGTCCCCCCTCTACTTTTTGTCACTTTGATGTTCCTCCACCTCTCTGCGAAGCCTGAAGTCAGCTAAAAGGCTAATGATAACTATCAAAACGCCTCGAAGTCAGCTAAAAGGCTAATGATAACTATCAAAACGCCTGCCATTTGATAAAATAAATATTCACACACAGTATAGGCATTCAAAATATTTATATACGAAATTTAATATGAATGAGCAAAATTTTATAATCTATTCACTAACAGACCCGTGAAGCATGAAGTGTATGTGACTAGAAAATGAAAAGAAGGCTTACAGTCTATCAAATTAGGCGTTTTAATTATAACAGGCACTAAAATCTCATTATTATCATTATTTTTTCTTCTTTTGGAGATTTATCTTTTATTTCGATTAATCAACCGTTCCATGGCATTAATTACTAAAAGATGTTTTTGCTCTGGGTTTACAGAAATACTCAAATGCGGTAAAGTTGGAACTGAGTTACTGTAAAGTTTAATAACCATATTATTATGTTAAAGCACGAGGTATCCCAGTATTTAAGATAGTAAGTGCTCCTAAAGTACACTAAGTTTACGAAGCCATCGCATTTTCTATTTCCGAAGTCTACAAATGGCATAGAATAAACCAGTGGTCAGGTTAGGAATACATAAATGATAATTTCTGGTCATTAGAAGCATTTTTGATACATTTAGATGTTACTTGGTGGACACAACAGGACATCTTGGTTAATTTCATGATATGCAGTTTTGTTCTCAAGGTTGATTTGACATTGGCATTCGCAGGCGGCAATCAAGACCGGTACTTCAGAGATTGGCACTGAACACCAATATTTCCTATCTTTTTATTCAACGTCCTCTCAATAATGTCCATTTCCATTATCCTGAATATTCTTTTCATTATTTGTAGATAGAAGATTGGTTGACAGAATTCCTCATCCTTGGTCATTTTCGTCACCAGTTATCCATAGTTTCTTCCTTCTAAAATCACTGGCTTGGTTGAGTAGCAAAAACCGTATGCAGTCATTTAAGTTAGGTTTCAAAAGCGATAAGTGATTTTAAAGCTTAAAAACAGTTGGCTGTCATTGTCTAATTATTTACCACTTAAAGGAAGAAGCGCACTTTGAAATCCAGCTCCCCTTTGCTTGGTCATCATGGTCACTTTTAAAATACTGAAAAAATTTGACTGACAACTTTTGATAGGTTACTCTTCTTTTACTGCCAGTAAAAGAAACGCAATGTTGGACGGAGATAATGCTAAAGCAATCCTATTTTCTTTTATGTTCATACTTGTGTCTGACGTGTCAAGTAGAGTTTTCAAATTCGCGTGGATTCCTTGAATTATACTCAACAACCAGACTCGGACCATTGGAGAATTAAAAGATTCAGTGATCAATCACATAGACTTGATATCAGCACGAACGATATTTGGAATTCTAAACTTCAAGATGTCCAAAACCGAAACAATAAAACTAACTTTGGTTCCCCTGAGGTATAGCACAACATAGATTTATTGCATGGGAGAAGACTCCATGATTACCGAAAATTTCGATCTCCTTGGGGGACAGATAATGGGGATGTTGCTTTAGTTCAGGGATTTCGACTTTACCATATGAAATGGTAACAATACGAAATGAATTACAAGGTGAATTGTGTAGTTCCACATTCAGTGGGGTCTACCAAATGAAACAGATTGGATAGAAGTCGTATTGTAGTCATCTGAAGCTAATTGACTCGGGCAAGGCTCTATGGCAAATCTTTCATCACTAAAAGTACTTTCAAGTTACCTGTCCCTCATGATTTCAAGAAGCCCCCAAATACCAAACCAAACCCACGGGTTTTCTTTTACATGAAAACATGGTGGCCAATTCTGCCAGTAGTCACATCTGTCGTTTAACGTTTTGTTACTCTGAGTCTGGATTAGTTTCTAGACAAAAGATATTAATTATGTATTGGCCACCTCACACATCCCGTTAATATTTTGAATGAATAAGCGTACCGGACGCCGACTCCTTAAGAACAAGTGTTTTGGCCTCGTTAAATATTTAGCTGCGCGGAGAGATTTACAAATCTTCTCTTCCTCACTTTGAAGGCGATGTTTGGATATAAATAATCGAAATATGGAGAAAACATATGTGATCTCTTCATATTTTCAAAAGTGAGCTTTTCCTAAATTGAATTCCTAACAATAAAAATCGTTACATGGAATTTTTGGAATTGATACTGATATCTTTATAATTTTTTTTCTAAAATTACATTTGATTTATTGCTGAATGAGGTTGAATAAATTCTCTAAAGAGTCTCCTGATATTTAAATTCTCTGGAAAGGGCCAAGTTTTATCAACAACAGCAACAATTTCAGTGAACACTTGTTCAATCAAAAAAATAATAACTTTGGTAAATGTTCGGAGAAGCCATGCGAAACTCAAAGCTAAGTCTCAAAGTCAGCAATTAGGAAATTTCAAATGAAAGTTAATGTGTACATCCAATTTCACGAAAATTTCACATTAAGAGTGTCTTGCTGAACTGAACTGCCAATTTTTCTGACGAGCAGTATTACTTACCTTTAGTTTCATTGATGCTGTGATAAAATCATTTTGGCTGCTATTAGCATTAAAGGCCAATAGGCTTTCTAAACTGGTGAATAAGGGTGAATTGAAGTGTCACGAACAATCATCTTGATTATACCGTCGGTCAATAAGCATTGGATAACGAGGACATGAAACGTTACAATAATCTAGTTGCCGAAACATGAAATTCGAAGTCGACAAATGAAATGCAGTAAGACTCATTTAATGCCTTGGCATCTTATAAATCCTCTCCACTTTCTCCTTCATTGCAATTACTATTCTTCAACTTTCCACAGCGACAAATATAAACTTTTGCCGGTACCACTTAAAAGAGGAAGTTACTTCTCAATCAAATGAACAAAACACGGAAATCGCTCTTCTAATTGAAAGTATATTTACAGTGGCGAGATTTCAGAAATTTCCTCAGAATTTTACAAGCTTCAACCTGTTGAATGTAGTCCTGTTTTAACAATCAACAGGACCTACTTGTGTCAGTTATAATCCATCCAAGAGTGAGAACGCAGCGTATCGAATATTAGGACGTAGACCAGACGGGCAACGCTGTATGGACAGAGCATTTTGTGCATACAGTATTCCTTTTCCAAGACGAGTAGATAGTTCCAATTAGACAGAGACAGAAATGTCATCGATGCATGAAATATAGCCTTCAAACATACAAGCGTGCTTTCACTTAAGTATACGAAATCTTGCTGATTAAAATGGCGTGCAGACATTCATCATTGAAATGCTACTTGTGCTTAAAACGAGAAGTCATTCAAATGAAAAATTATGCAACGAAGCGTGCTTTCATTATTATTCTTAGTTGTGCTGAACTTTCAATCATTAATTTAAAGCATATTTTTATCGCACGACAAACGGAGTACATTTGTAGTATTAAAAGTTTCCAAATGTACGGTGAATTGTTGTAGACAGTAAAATGAAAATTTCAACGAAGTAAACCAGAGAAGTGCAATGATTTTATTTTCCTATTTTGCAGAAGCTAAGTTTTAAATATTTGATTATTCCACAGTTAGAGAAGTCATTAAAGACAACCCAACATAACAATTTTAAATATTATTAGTTGTTGCTTTTTTTAACTGATCTCTTAAAGATAACTCTAAACTTAGAATCTATTAAATATTATCATTATTATTATTTCAAATGGCAGGCTTTATGATATTTATCATTAGCCCCATCTATTAAATGTAACATTTGTTTTAGTTCACGTTTTATCGATTTATTTTTAACTACCAAAACGAGGAAACTTGAAATGCTTTCAAGCACCCTTAAAGGGTCATCATATGTTCTCAATGCGTTGAAATATTAATACGTATCTTAGAGTGGTTGTTGATAATTCAAGACCAACGTCGTTTGAAACCTTTCCAATGGCCCTTATGTCAGAAAGGTGGGCATTAAAGTCGCAACCTTCAACTCACCTCACCAACAGCAAGCATTTCAAACCACCTTGTTCATTCTTTTTCCCACTTTAAGAATTCTGTCACGCCTGCCTACTTTTCTCTTCTGTTTCTGGCGTGAAGATTGGCAAAAATTGAGATAGCAAGGTTTGCATGTAGCCACTTACCAAAATAAATTTACTTAATGATTGTCTGCTTAAAACTTTAATGAAGAGAAGACTAATATTGAAGATTTAGGGTAAATATTTCATATCATACCAGGGAAACACAAATATGCATGCATACAATCCTTTTAGCCTAACGAAACAGAGGAACATTCTGCACATCTTCTCTTGTCCCTTAAACATTAACTTTGACTAGAATAATCACAGCATTGCATGCTAAAAGAAACGGAATGCATAAACCCAGTTACTTTGCCTTAAGTCGTGTATGGGTTAAACAGTCCTCAATTTTGGGTTAGTGGTAAGGTCTCAATTCATGCGCATTACTGACGCAGTTTTTAACGCGTTTGTCTAGCCATTTAGACGTATCTTCCTAGGCTCATCGGCGCCTATTCACTAAGAGAAAAGACCATCCCCATTGATTAGGTCCAGCTAATTGAAGGAGATGGTAATATTTCCAAGACGTGGTGATGCCTTCCTTTTACCCACAATGTATTTAACGTTTATTTCCTCGTTCAAGTTCCTTTTTCGAATGGAACATTACATGGTTGTCTTTGTCAAAATATGCTACAAAGTAATTGATCGGCTTATCAATTGTGCCCATGGTTTCACATAAGGAAAAACATTGTGGTTTGTTTTCCGATCATGTTCTAAAAGCAGGTTAAAAGGAAGTGGTTGGTCAATGTCAAGGGCAAGTGAGCATACTTTCTGAACAGCGACTCGTTGCCCAGATGTCTCCATTTCATTTATCTGCCTTAATACCCCAATTTGGTCAAGTCTGTTAATGGACAAATTTTCTTTGTTATCAACTTGACCAATGAGGAAAGACTCTTGATCCCTGTATTTGGGCTACATTAAGCTTATAGTCCGCTCATATGGCGGTTATTCTAATAAGTCTTTCCAATCTCAAAATTCGCTGCCAAAATTTAGAATATGACTGAACTGTTTTGAAAAATATTTTTCTTACCGAGTCCATACTGATTTCTTAATTTGAATTCGATAAAACCGCGTAAATACAAAAATGCGACCGAAATATATACCTGAAACTCCCACTCACCTTGATAAAATGTGTGCTTCTTGCATAACCGGCTACAACATCAGCTTCATGTCTGAAGAATTGCTTGAGATTTTTGAGCCCCCGAGTCAGAGTATTTGCCGTCGGGACAATGTTCAGTGGAGCCGGAAGTGTGGAACCATTGTCTATATAGTTGAGCCAAAGTTTAGTTCGAGCGAACTTCCATTCCACGTCACAATCTTCCTACAAATTAGCAAATTAAATCGTATCATTTTACTAAGAAGTTTATGCTAGTCAATTCACCAGCACATTTTCTTACATTGGAGTGATACAAAATCTCCCTTAGGGTTACAGTGGCTTATTAGGATGCTACAATACTGTCTATCACAACTCAAGGTTCCGGTTCATCTAAATTAACAAACCCATGTTCATTATACAGCCTGAATTTAGAAAAAAATGATCATTATATTCAACGTGAATCAAGGTTAAAATCTTTTATTTTAATCTTGGTAAAGTACTGCGTTGAAAGAAGGCAATTAATTTTAACCGCGTCAAATTGCCTTTTTCACATAGGCATGGAAATTGAATTGAGTTCATCTCTGTCGTGAAAAAACGAGATGACTAAAAACATTTACTGTAAAAATGGAAATTACCTATCCTGGGATCGATTCCTCAAAAAATACAAAGGGGAATTATAAATATTTGTTGGCATTGATGAGGCAATCAATACAATGAAAATCATAGATCTTCCACAACTCCAACTCACTTTCCCAGGATATTCTTTGCAGTTATCAATTACCAAGAGGAATTAGAAAGAAAGCCTATTGACTTGGACATGCTAGTCAAGATGATAAAGAAATCTTTGTTGTCATGTTTTAAAGTGAAACTTCTGCATCTAGGTCTCCAGTCCGAATTCACCGATTTATAAAACTGTCAATTATATGCAATTGTTGGCAAGAAGACATTACTGCTTTGGCAATATCGAGGAAGTTGCTACTAACTAAGCACAAAGATCAATAATGAGCTTCCAATCTCTAGACATATAAACGATAGGGAAGGTCGAAATGGCAAGTGTCAGTAAGTCACACTCAGTGTGCAAATTCGAATCGATTCGAGTTCCTTCAACTGAACTTTAAATAATTAACGATGCACATTTCCCCTCATCATTTGTTTACTCCAAACAATTTTTAAAAAATTTAACTATTTAGCGCTTCTATTGCGTTTGGTCAGAAAACTGTTGAAAGTAAAATCGAATGAGAAGAAAATGGCCGATTTGTTAGAATTTTAAGCATCTCACCTGAATGCTTTCAAATGAGTGACTCATCATGGCGATTAGCATGTTGACCAAAACAATAATAATAATGCCATGGTAGAGGGCGAAGAGAATCATTCCGACAGTGTCGACAACAACGGTATTAACATCTAGATCAATCATTCCATCGGAGTATTTGTGATCAACACCACCTGAAAGTAAAATAACAGGGCTTTTTTTCATTGGTGAGTAAGAAGCAGTCAGATTCAATTAATTTACTTCAATTGGAGTGCTTCAGGATGTGTGTAAATTGTTGTCATAGTCAATGAAGTATTTAGTGGCGATGTCTTTGAATTAATCCGAGCTGGATTTTATTAGTTCCAACACGTAGGCTAAAATATTTCCAAAGGCTACTGTAGCTGAATTCCACTTTAAATTTTATGAAGCCTAATAATTCATTGACATGCCACATGTCTTCGGTAACCCTGCCACCTGTTTGGATGTAAATGTATTGTACCAAAATATTATATATGCTATGTTTCATTCGAACTTGATCTGGTTTCCATTCATTTCTCTACATTTGATTCATCGTGATTGCATTAAGGTGCATGTGAAATCATAGCTGTCGTTTTACTCCAGTTCACTAGTTTGTAAACTTCGATGTAAACTTCAATGAGGTTTAAAGATACATGAATGTCTTCTTTACAAAGTTCCCAAAATATCTTCCTGAATCGAACTGATATGCTTAATTAGTTGACCATAAAACTAAATGGAATATCTCCAATCGACGTTGTGATATGTCTACTTATTCAAGAGATTTGCAATAAAACCCCGACGATTCAAATAAAACCCATTAAAATTGCATTGTTAGCAACGAAGTTTTCCATAATGATCCGATGAACATTAATAAAACGGATTTGGACTGCTCATTTTTTTGGAGAAAGCACGAAAACTTAAGCTAGAAATTACGTAAACTTCATAACACAATATTTTCGTTCGTTTTGTGAGATAAGTGAATATATTTTCCATCGAGTGCAGCTCGCCTTTATCATAGTACTTATTATCAATTTTTCCTTGAAGTAAGATTGAATTCTTTAGTTGCAGAACAGATTTCAAAACTTCGAATTTTGATCACCGAATATCCCAATTTTAGTGAAGTTGAGACAAAATACTTATAATTTCCCACAATCGAAAGAAATAGGACGAAATGGAGCTGATTAAACATCAAAAGGGATTTGGATTTAGTTCTCATAGAGGCCGCATAGGAAAAAAAAACGAAAATTGATTGAGATGGTAACGATAATGGAACCATTCTAACCCAATTTCATCCCAACATCTGGTTTATATATGTCACCCTCTGATATTTCAGCAATGATTTAAAATATTTCCAATGAGAATTCCGATTAGGTAAGTGGACTGTATATCGCTTCACAATAGATTTGCGTTACTGTGTAATAAATTAGCAAAGAAGGGCAATATATCACGTTATTAAATCTTGGCAAGAATAATATATTAAAGATGCACAATAATTGTCAGTTATAAATACGATAAAGGTCCACCCTTATACACCCGGGTTTTTCCACTGCTTTGATTTCATTGCTAAGGACGATATTTCAAAGTTAAGGGAAATTAATTATTAATTTCATTTCTTGCCTATTGTTTATTAAATGCCTGTTAATATTTGAATGGAGAACGTTTCAATCTATTACTTTATATAACCTAATGAAAATAATATAATTGCATGGCATAACTTAAGCAAGTAATTGAATGTTGCAATTAATTTTCAGATAATTTGCGTAAAAAGTTTGTCATAATTTCCGTTTTCACAATCTATTTAACAGACGCAGGAGACTCAGGGTGTATGATAACCAGTACGCCCTTCCGTGAGAAAAGTAGCTTTTTCTCGGAATTCTCAAATAAAAGAACTTGCACTATCAAATCCAATGTCAATTAGGACAATTACAATGTGCGGAAGTTGTTAAGAATCCAACAGTAAGCAAACAACTCATAAACAGGAATATCTTCTAATTTGCACCTGAGTCGCTAATACTAGTAAGCGTATCACGAAAGTAGAATGGTCAAGTTTTCACTAGTTATTACCTTACTGATAGGGGTGCGTTATAGACTTACCTCCACGTGGTGCACCCTGGGAAACGTATATTAATATGGCAAAAAAGTCTATTAACTGGCAGTTGACCTCTGACTTCAAACTACCATGAGCCCACTGTATGTCATCTTTGAATCTCTCTTCTGCTCCCCCTCTCGAATTTTTTTTATTTTGATGTTCTTCCCTTGTGTGAAGCCTGAAGTCAACTAAAGGGATAATGATAACCATCAAAACGTCTGCCATCTGATATAAATTATCTTACTGATTGTAATTAAGACATTTCCATAAACACTTATTCATGCACTCCCAAATGGCTCGAATACCAGACCCTGCTGCTTTTATTAAGATTATCCTCATCTCCTATTCTT